TGACCTACAAGTCTATCAGTCGCGTAAGCGGGGCATATGATCTAGTAAATCTCAGAAGAAAAGATAGAAAACGGTTCTTACATATGTATAATTCTTCGAGTCTTTTGGATTTCTATTATTGGTTCTTTCATTGCTTTCCCAATGTACTTGTGAAAAGATAGGCAGAGTGTAAACATGGGTGACAACATAGTGTACCAATCCACTTCACCCACTGCTAGGGAAAATATATGTTATTGCCTAAGAGCGCCGCGGATAGCCAGTCGCTGCTTCATGCAGTCATCTTCAGTTAGATTCAGAAGCGTTATCAGCGTCTTGAGTAGAGTAGAGAGCCTCTGAAAGCTATGCATTACTAGTATATGCTAATAGAGAATTTCACCAAGGTAAGAATGCTGGGGAAATTACGTGGTGCACTGCTATTTGGGGAAGAAGTAACCATCATCTGCGAGTTAGTTCTTGTACATTTCCTTCCATCTTAATAGCTAGTATCTATCACATTAGTTGAACCTAAGATAAACTTAGCACATACGACCACAGGGTGTGGAAAACAGGGCTTCCCGTCCGCTCAGCCGTACTTAAGCCACACGCCGGGAGGTTAGTAGTTGGGTGGGTGACCACCAGCGAATCCCTTCTGTTGTATGTTTTTGGGTACTTTTCTTTTTCTCTTCATTCATTTCCTTACTTTTCAGCCTGTAGTACCTACGTCAACCTCTTGTGTCGAGTCTGCAGATATCATTGCTCTGTCCCAGTTGCAACCACCAAACAAAAATTATGAATATCAGAACTCAGCCTGCTGTGATTCCCCTCACCTGCTTTGATCTTCACTGTACCATATCATAATTGTCCGTTTGTCTATCATGCCTTGGATAGTGATCAATCTCGGTCCTTGGAAAGTGTATTCTCGTCAGAGCTCTTTCTACCTGAGTACTAGTTATGCTCGGAAACAATCGTTACAGCTAGTTCAATCAGCTCAGGTGGTTAATTTTATCGGTCACCTATTTTTCCTTGTATAACACAGTAGTAACAAAGCCCACACAACTTGATTCACTATCTACTACCTTTGTTCCACCCTTCTATACCAGGCGAACTTCAAGCCACCCGATGATATACCAAACAGACCTGATCAGTATCTACTATACCCAGAAGTAATCATAAATCTAGATCCTATATAACTACTAAGACTCTTATACATGTCTCTTTCAGGCTTTCTCTTAGATTATTAATAAACTATAATTGTTAAATCTAGAAAAGAGCTGCTACTACAGCTATAAATTGAATCTAGAAAAACTTGTTCCTGGAACAGGTTGCTGCGTCGCCAAGATGATTGTGCTTAGGAGAATTTGGCCGTTTATGTTTACACCGGAGCATGATAGCATCATACTGTCATGTAAAAACTCAAGTATCCCTTCACTAAACCCAAAGGTTGCGGCCACCTGTCCGTCACGTCCTTTACAACCCATTGGTTCAACGCAATGCCTATCTTATGGGAAACGAGTTCTAAGATGAACCGCCCACTACGCAAAGGGCTGCACAAGGCCCTTGCCTCTTTGGGGAAGATGTTTCGATTTCCCTCTGTTTTGTATGTGTGAAATAACATCAACGTCCTTAGTCGACGTCCTAAATTAGATCACCAGTAGTCATGAACACTTGGAATTGCTATGATGACAAACACCCCAATCGACGTTGCCATTCGACTTCTATACCTTCTGGCATCGTGTTCAATCAAGATTAAGATATGGACAGTCGCTCGGATCCGCGTAGAAGATGCCGCCCAATCTCTTGATCAATTCACAGCGTTCCTCCATGTTCTTCGCATTATAGATTATACCTGTGCCCAGTTCACTAGCGCGGCCGTATGTGGTATTCAATACCCAAACACCACCACCGTCTGGCCAGCCGAAGGAAACATGCGGATCCGTATCCTCGCGTGTGCGAAAAAACATGAATTCCAACTCATCCCGATAGGATTCGAACCATTTCGCACCTAAGCGACGCACTAGGGAAAAATGAGATGTGTTAGCGTGACACCTCGACTAATGCTTTGAAGCGAAAACGAACTACGATCACAATGTGCCTCCTCTTTGGCCTGCCAATCAGGGTCTGACTTGGAAGGTCGTTCGGTGTTCTCAAATCGGTCGATCCTGAGGAAATCCAGTTCTACCCCAACGCACTCGCGAAGAACATAGAACCCCCCCTTTGAGGGAAAACCGTAAACTGCAGCCCCTGGACCCGATCCATATTCAGTCCAGAAGCGCGGCTCCGGTTCAGCGTGTACGCAGTCAATCCAGTTACTCGGCATGTCGGATGATGGCGCTGGTGCTGTTGCCGGCGCACGACGCATCTCGCTTACTCCACGTTGGGGCCGGAGGCGCGTGCCGGCCAAGTAAAGAACTGTAATGACAAAACAGGGAACTAAGACCGCAAGCATAGACCGCATAGTAGTGGGGTTCGGGCTTATAAAGAAAATAATGGGATGAGTTGAGGTCCTGGGGATGTCAAAAGGCGACCGTCGGACACGAAGAACTTCAAGAACTTGGACAGGCTGACCCTGATCAGAGCGGAAGAAGCGGCCGGAACTGTGGATAAAGTAGAGAGGCCAGTGAGATGGGCCTTAAAATAGGTTCCAACTTGGTCACGATTAGGCTGAAGCGTTCATTAAACAAGCGTCGCGGAAGACCTGCCCTATGGCCGGGAACCTATCAGTTCGACCCGCCCGTCAAACAAAGGGTCTCCGTTACCCGTGGATAGTTGGACAGCCCGCCCATCACCGTCCCTGCGTCTTCTGTAGTGCTAAATAGAATAATGGTAGTTGATTGAGGATGTTTAGTGACCACTGACATACACCTTTTGTTGTATGTTCTTAAACTACTTTTCTAGTCTTGTTGTTGTTAAGCACAAACCCTGAGTCTGAAGGTGGTTTGTGGCCCTTGGAGCTAACATTGAACGTGGGAGACATAAGTTGATTGTATATCGACTTCCGTTGTCGGCATTCACACAAACATGGGATCGCCATTTGAGGCGTCCCTATTGCGGCGTCTAATAGTTGACCTCTAATTAAAACCCTATTATCACAGGACTCCTACTGACTGAAAAGAGAAATAATCCGTTGGGGATTGGATCACTGCACAAGCCTTCCAGTCTGCGGATCAATCTCCTGTCGCCCTTTGAAATCCACTCTCAAGAACTTGGTACCGCTTCGAATCAGCTGCTGAACCCAATCCGGAGCTCCTCGCTACATAATATCAGTTATTATCCCATAGTAAGTGAGAGATGTCGATTTAACTCACCAAGCCAGCAAAATAACGAAAGATTCCTGGAAGGTAAACTGTCTGGCTCAATCCACTGTCGAGTATATCCACAATGACATCTACAACCGTGTCGACATGAAGAAGAGGCATCAGAAATCTGGACTGGTTTGTATCGCCTTTGAATAGTGGCGTTTTGGTGAAGCTTAGCACAGCAAGCGATGTGCGGACCTTCGTTGCATTCTGGACTCGAAGCTCTTGGGCAAGACACTAACTCAAATAAGTATACCGTAGACTCAGAACACAAGTTGAAAACAGTGGACTGATATATCTACCTCATGAAATGCAATCAATCCAGCTTTTGATGCTGCGTAATCAGCAAGCCCGGGAGGCGGGATATAAGCGCTCATCGAGGCCACATTGAAAATATGTCCATGGTTTCGTCGGATCATAGCCGGTAAAAACTCCTTCGACAGGAAAAATGGTGCCAGTAAGTTAGTTTTTAGGGTTATGCTGTTGTCGCTGTAGGTACCCTCGACTACTGTACGCCCGCGTGACAGACCAGCATTGTTCACTGTTACCAGATTGTCAGCCAAGTAGGCAATTGCGGAAGAGGGTCGCTGCTTAAGTTCATTTACCTAGCACAGATGGATCACCAATTTCCGCTCTGATCTTTTCGCAAATACTTGCGATCTCTTTCTCATCACTCAAGTCGCATTTGTGATACAGGATGCGTTTGTTCTCTGCGTTGGTGTTTATCAGAAAGGTGCTCATGGAAATAACGGCTGCAAACGAAAGGTTACTCAAGAGTACAAACCAAGGTTGTAGGTTAATGGGATAATGTCCAACACAACAACGCGTGCGCCCAGTGCAGCCAGACGCTGAGCGACCCCCGCTCCAATACCACCGCTTCCCCCCGTAACCACGACCAGCTCCTTGTTCCAGTCCCAAGTATGATCCGTAACCCAATTGTTCAAGCTCTTGGAAGTTAACCAATCGTTAAGCCACAAGATGACACTAGTTGTTGCGGTAATGCGGATCAGTTGTTCGTATGGGACAAGGAAAGCGAGTTTTGGCGCCAAGAATTGCAACAGCAATGTGGTAAACGGATGAAAGATTGTTTTCCGTAACCCTACTATTATCGGATCGATGTAGAGACCTTCGCGGGGAAGGAAGCCGGTTTTAGCCATTGTCATACGCTTCTTCGAGGGTGAAAAAGAAACAGAACTAACACTGACGGCTGAATCTTATATTTCACATGTAGACCTATACAGACTTATTAGGCATGGGGTTGGGGAATTACTAACTAGGTAGACTATCTTTCTTACCCCGCGTGTCCGGGAAGCCTCCAGGTTCGTAACTGTCCCGGAATGGACCCGAATGGGATCCATCTTCCTGGCGATTGCCCGTGCCCCACAATGAACCGAGGCCATCCGAATGGAATTATCAAACTAAGAGACAGAGCGATAGGTGTGATGCGGACGCGTACAGACATATGTCATCGTTGCGACCCTATGTCATATGAAGCTCCGGAACGGTGCCGGAGATCTATCGAAGCCTGGAGCATCTCGACAGTATATAACATAGCCGCCTTTTCATCTGCTCAATGCGACGGAACGGTTATTACATTTCCCCAGCCGATGGTAAAACTGCATATGTAGAATGTATAAACTTCATAATATGCGCTCTCACGGTACGAGGATGCTGCGCAGGTTTTTTCGAAGACTCCTAGTCAGGGGAAATCCTCACGGTTGATGTGGAACCCTCTGTTAGCATTCCACATTATCAGTGTCTATGAGAGCACGGAGGACCTTCCATACGGTACCTCGTCCAATTTCCCTCTTTGTGGTAGAACGCTGGCAGTCTTCTGGGTACTGAATTCCCACTCTGTAGAGACTTCGAGGCGCCAAAGACTACAACAACGAAGTATAGATGATCTATCAAGTTGATGAACTCATAAGAAACACTCTTCGATATTACGCTGATATATACTGGAAAACAGAAATTGTTGCCGTGGACAGACACAATATTATGAACAGCTCAGTGGACACCAAAACCAGGCAAACTGCATCAACACATTCGATAAATCAATCACTGCCCCCATCTTCTCACATCAATCCTGCGTGGTTACTTGGCCAATATGATGGATTGTACACTGGCCAAGTAGGTTTTAACAATTTCTGGAGACAGGTTTCCAAAGTAACCAAGCCGAGCTACCCCCAAAATCCCAATACAAAGTGCAAGGAATAAAGCCTTAGAGAATCTTCGTCCCGATGGCTTTATAGTCTTCTGCTGACAGTTAATGATATGATACATGTTTGTTCAATCAGATTAAATCGAAGAAAAGAGCAAGGAAAGAACAAATGAAAAGAAAACGACCCCAACCTACCTTAATATGCCAATCAGACCATGTGGGAAATAGACTCCTCCACCAGTAGTGACCTTGGGTCCACGGATACGACATGGAGTTCCATCTCTTGTCGTTGAGGTACCACTGCAACTTCAATTAGATGGTTATGAAGTTGACTGAAATGCATATCCCACTTACTGATACGCAGCCCGCGTTCCAAACGCGTTTATTCAATGCGTCTTGCACCCAGTAGACGTAGTCGTGCTCGGCCTTGGGCTTTAGCTCTACTGATGAGGCATCACCGTCTAGAACGGGCTTTAGAACGCGAAGAGCGTAGTTAATCGAGCTAGTATTTATGATTAGATGCGAAGCAAAGGGGACAGGAAGAGGTGGGGGTCAAAATGTTGAACCTACTTCTCAGCGGCCAACATAGCTGATGTGTGTCCGGTGGCAGCATTAGGTCCGAGGAGCATAAAAAAGTTGGGAAAGCCACTAAGAACCGAGCAGTTGTAGGCAGCTGGGCCGTCGTACTTAGTCCAGTGCTGTGACACACTCTCGCCGTTTTGCCCGACCACATCCATGTATGGAATGAATTTGTTAGTCCTGAAGCCTGTCGCGAGAACAATCACGTCCGCCTGAATGAAGCCTTTGTCAGTCTCAAGACCTTCTGCGGTAAATCTATCAATCTTCGCGTCGGTCAGGAGGACTTTGTCACTATGTAGGCTTTCGAGGTAGCCAGGGTCGAAGATTCGTCTCTTTCCAGTTCATGAAGTTAGCATAATATTTCGACGCTTCGTGAACCCAAGTCTAGAAGGAATATCAAACAAGGGAGGCCGTACCTTGCATCCTACATCAAAGTCCGGAATCAGGAGATCGTGGTATTTCTTTGGACCTGCCTCTCGCATGTATTTCTCTACTTTGATTCGCCGTTTCTCTCGAAGTCTGGCTGCTCCCTTCGTCATCGGAAATAAGCGAAAGTCATTTTCAGCAAGCAAGAATATGTGAAATCGGTGCAGCTTCATGGCCAAAGGAACGTAGCGGAAGATCCATTGCAGAAGCCGAGGATAGGAGAAGTTTGGAACCGGAAAGATCCAATGCTTCGTTCGAACGATTTGTGTGAGGGATTTGATCTTTCCCTCGTTGACCAAAGCTGGGACGATCTGGGCAGCAGTGCCTAGAGGATGATCAGTCTGCCTCTTCGGTGGCGATGAGAAATGAACAGAAATTGCATACAGCCATTGCCAATAACAACGACATTCTTCCCTTCGAGATCCACGCTATGATCCCACCGCGCCGAATGGAATATACTCCCGCCGAAGTCTGCGGCACCGGGGATATCACATGGTCGCGGCTCGACAAGCTGTCCAGTGGCTGCAAAGAGGATCTGGCACTCGTGCGTATATTCGCGTCCCGTTTCCAGTTCACGTAGGTATAGAATCCAGCGATTTGCGTCTTCCCGCCACACACTACGGACTACTTCCGTGCCAAAGGTCATCGCTCGACGAAGATTGTATGTGTCAACCACGTTGTCAACATACTCTTTGATCTCCGTGTTCGAAGGCATAAGCCTAGTCCAGTTTGGGTTCAGAGCAAAGGAAAAGCTATACAATGCGCTAGGCACATCGCAGCCGCATCCTGCATTCGGTATTTCAGTAAGTCGAAGCAATGAAAAACCATAACCAGAATGCATGAACGGACCTGGATATGTGTTGATGTACCACGTTCCACCACTCGTGGGATGCCGTTCGAAGAAGCGGATGTCTTCAAGGTTGTACCATCTCTTTAGCGTTGCTCCTAGGGCTACGGCTGACAAGCCAGCCCCAACACAGGCTATCTGGCTATAGGATGGGATGTCGGGAGTCTTCGCTGTCATGGTAGAAAGGGTTCTGTTTTATTCTATGCATGTATTTCTCGGTTGTTGTCGTCTTGACGTCGCGTAGGATTAAGTATGAATCCTACGGGAACAAGCGCGCTGGATGGGATCCAGTTCATACCGGAACTGACCCGCACGCATAAATTCACCCGAGGTAGAGTAAGGCATGTGCAAGACAGAGTGCGGGGGAATCCTGAGAAATGGGGAAAAATTGAGGAGTGCGGCGTGTGGGGTCTGCTAGTCATCACCTTAGTCGTGTGTCAGTGGCCTTCACCAGTATAGTCATGGTTCGGGATAGACCCGGACCGTGGGGGCTTGGGGTAGATGATCATTTCCAGTAGTAGTCCGTGATGGATGTGCATGCCGGAGATGCTCCGCTTGTGTTGACTGGGGGGTATAGTGCTGCAACAGATGGGTCTAGCCATTGCTCAACTTACTGGATTCATTACTTGAGGAGAATTGATGGATGTTCTGCTCCAATCTATTTCAGAAGTCCACCCCAGTACAACAGAAATTGGAGTACCCAAAAGCAAATGATCGGCAAGTGTATCTTGCCTTCTGCAGAACACGTTGTTCAACCCCTTGAGGGATAAATCGATCTAGATGTCTACATAATCACTTAACGGAAGCTAACGGAAGCCCTTCAGTATCAAGGCAAAGTATCAGGAAAGTCAAGCCTCGTCAAGAATCCCAAATCATCCAGACTTTGTCCCATACTTCCCACATATTCCTCCCAATTAAAGAATGGAGCTTGAGTTAAGTCGTGATCCGGGTGATCAAACGGGGTGTAAGGTTGAGCCATGTTATCTGAATGTAGAGAAGCAGTACCAGTAGTCTGACTGGCTGTTTGTTGCACATCTGCGGGAACTGCTTGTCGATACAAAGCTTTGAGGAACTGAAGCGTGTTGTTCGCTGAGCGTCTAACTGTGGCCATCGACTCCAGAACACCCGTAGCTTCTCTCCAGGCAACCCTGGCTTTATCCATAGTAGACGGGCCTAGCATTGATGGGGAGGAGAAGGACATGAGGAGAACTATGGCGGCTGTTGACACATCTAAGCTCGGGATATCAGTACAGATGGGAACGTAGATGGCAATTGGAAAGAGAGAGCGGCATACAGAACCCATTGTACCACCATGCATCGGTAGCGTTTGTGTGGTATGTCTCATGGACTAGGTGCGTCAGGTCAATGGCTGCCATTACGCAGGCAGTGGCAGATTTATTAGCCGTATATAAGTACAGAGCGCTCCCGGTTGCCGAACTGTGGGCTGACCATTCTTCTCTAACACCATTTCCACCTACAGAATCGCGCTTGCGTACTCTTTCCGAGTAGAGCTGAGTAAACATCGGACGGTGAAGGAGCAGGTGAAGATGCAAGTATCTATGGATGTAGGTGAGTAATAGCCACATATATAATGATATGACTTATAAGAAGCGCACCTCGCATGGAGAACGTTTTTCTGGTGGGCAATTGGCTGGTTCAGTCTTCCATCTGAATTGAGTTCCGGCGTGTCCGGATCCCACTTAAAGCATGAAGGTAAATTAGCCTCGAACAACGTCAATTCTTTTTCAATTTCAAGGATTGTGTCCAAGCCTCCCAGGCTCTTCGTCGACGCCTGTGGTCTATCCTGGCGTGTCCGACCACACCAAGCGTAATATACATCAGATAGGATCCTGTCGAGGATGTTGTAGAGCTTGATAGCCTCGATATAATATGACAGCAGTGACGGCTCTCCCGGCGGACTTTGTCGAGACATCTCCAAATCTTCTGGTGGGGGGAGAGGAGTTAGATGGGTGGTCATGGTAGGTCGGCCATGCGTCATGCTAAGAGTGCTGTAGTATGGATCAGCACGATATAATATAGGACCGCTCATAGTAGCAGGGCTTACACATCCATCATCACACAGCCGTGCCACGTTCTGCGTCGAATATCGGATTCCAAGGGCGACAAGCTAGCGAGAATATCCGACTCATGGAGTCCCAATCCTAAAGCAACCCGGCAAGCAACACCAACCGAATGCCAGCATCTGCTTGGATAAGGGGAGCTCTGCAGAAATAGCGCTGTTATCAATAGAGTCTGAACTACCCCAAGGGTATTAATATCAAGAAAGTCAAGTCCGATGAAGCGTTTGGACCTGAGAAAAAAGCAATGCGCAACAGAGTCGACGTCTTCGATGTCTGCAAATTGACAGCCTAGAGCAAAAATGGAATTCAAGGCAGCATGAAAGACTATCGATCTAGGGCCGGACTCCGCGCCGGAACCCAGTCCAATTCTCAAGTCTGTGAGAGGTATCTTAGCCTCATCTTCAGCACGCCAGAGATTTCGATAGGCTGCTTCAAACGCGGGGCGGTGAAAGAACGGATATAGGGTATATACATGATCGAAAAAGCATCGGACGAGGTGGTCTGCCAGCGTGCGCGGTGGGAGGGCAAAATCGTCGAACCGATACTCGGTGAAAGTATCCTGCAATGTGCTAGATGCATGTTCGGCACTAGAAGCATTTGCCGGCCGTGAGAGCATTGACTGCCAGGCAAACCTCATGAGCGAAGCAGTGGACGAACTACCATAGAATTGGAATCGGGAGGACTGCCTCCTACTTTCAGCATCCGGAGCTGTGATCTGCCCCATGCCCGTGACGTGGGCTTCCCCATCGTCGAACAACGGCGACTCATAGGATCCTATATTTGGTGAGCACTCTGTAGTCTGTTCCACTACCCGTCTGGACCGGCTGTTTTCGCTTTCACTGCGTACAGCTAGCACCGCTTGCTCCGGAGGTATGCCATCCCCGAAACCTGTAGAGGTAGGGACCCGCTCATTGGGTTCCCCAAATGAGGTGGGGACAACCATGGGAATGCTGCTCGTCTCCACTGGTATTTCATCGCTTCTGTTGAGCTCGCTATGAGGTTCTTGTTGTGCCCGAAGGCCCAGTGAACTGTCGATGGACAGCCCGGCCGTCAAACAGGCACTTTCGAGTTCTCTAATTCGGAGATGAAGGGTCTGGAAGTACCTACTTTGCGTTAGCCCCTTGGTGCATTGTTCTCATGTTCCCGGTTGTTGGATGAATTCCTCATCAAACTTACTCGTCTCGGCTGGCCGTCCGGGCGTTATCCGGGTTGTAGAGACACTGGTCTATCCGATAAGATCGCCTCTTGCATGGCCCACAAATGGGCTTGTTCCCGTCGCAGCGAACCTTCTTTTCTCTACACGAGTCGCATGCCAGAGCAACCTTGCGGCGTGCGCCATTTCGTCGCTTTGGGTCACCCGATGCTTTCGGGGGCATTTTGTGGAGACGGGGGACACCCGGTGCTGTGGAGCAGGTCCTGGGCAGGCCTTATCAGCAAAATCACTTCAGCAGTCCGCGTCCTTAGGAAGACAAAATCACTAAGTTGCAAGTTCCAACTTGGGGATGTGAAGAGTAGTGACTTGTTCATCCAGCCGGGAGTGTTCCGGTGCCATTTGTGGGTGGGGGCTTTGCGGAGGCCAATAGCAGTTACGGTAGCCAAGACCGTCAGTTTTTAGGAACGGCTGCATTCCGCTGTTTTTTCGGGTCTGTTCCAGACATGCGCTTGCTAAAATGGATAGCTACTGAATCTCTCGTATGTTCTAGCAGAGTTGGGTGGGCTATGATAGGGTTATATGAACCCCCGAACGCGTAGAAAATACCTTTTCTCTGCTACTCTTGCACATGTTCAAACTCAAATATTTACCGTGGTAGACAAAAAAAATCTAAGTAAAAATGACACCCAATCTGGCAAAAGTACGCTTCTTTTTTACCCTCGTGTTTTGTGTCCTGCCACGGGCCGCTATAAGAATTCCGGCGGCTGTTGTTCGTGCGTGCCTGAAAAGGTTACCATTAGGATCTTCCATGTGGAATGGGTTTGTTGGTGCCCTCATGACCAACACACCCCCAGATCAGTTGCAGGCAGTCCTACCATCTACGCTAGAGACATATGAAGCATGGGTTCTGTCTCATGGGGTAAGCCGTGCGGTGGATGTCTTAGCAGCGGACAATGCCACTCGTCTGCTTTGGTTAGGGCCTAGTGTATCAAAGAAGGTACTTCTTTTCTTCCACGGTATGCTATTCTATTCCCAACGCCGCCCTCTCTACACATGATTTCTGACTGTTGACTAGGTGGCGGATATGTGATGCCACTTTCTGAAGCGCACTTGGACTGGATGTCATATCTACGAACCGAAGCAGTCAACGCTGGGGTGGATATGAGTGTGTGCATATTGGAATATGGTTCGTCTTAAATATCGACAATGATGTTACGGACGTCCTGACAATCTAGACCTGATACCAACCAGCAAATATCCCAGACAGATGAAACAGGCAATCTCCGCATTACAGCGTCTACTTATTTCTGGGTATAGACCTTCTGATGTAGGTTGGCTTGCCGGTCGGTCTTCTTGGACCAAAGAGCTAATCTGAACTCGAGCAGATCGTCTTCGGAGGAGACTCTGCTGGAGGCCACCTGTCTCTTTCCCTCATGTCGCATCTCCACTGCCATTATCAAGCCAAGGAGAAATTTATTCACCTACATGGCCCTGTGAAAGGATGTTTTCTTGTGTCGCCGCTAGCATCGTTCGACTTCAATACACCTTCCTACCAAAGGTGGCTAAGTGCCGATGTTCTTACTCGCAAAAATGTAGACGAATGGGGACGTTATCTTGTCGATGATTCTCCGTGGCACGAGGAGATATCTGCTGGATATGGCTGGGGAATGGCGCTGGATGTTCCGGATGGCTGGTGGGACAATTTCACGGCTGTGGATCATATTCTTGTGACCGGCGGCTGCGAAGAGGTGTTCAGCGATCATATTCGATTATTGGGCAAGGTCTTGAAGACAAAATGTAAGGGAAACGTGGCCTTGCACATGAGTAAAGAAACCCACGACGGACCGCTTATGGACTTCGGAGCTAGAAGGCCGCCTAGTGCAACTACAAAAGCTATCAGAGACTTTGTTATAGCTTGCTTAAAGGATTGAAGTGGCCATCAT